TTCACTGAATGACCATTTTTCCCCCTGAAGGATTATACTCAGTTTTGTTGGGTAAGGCTCATTATGTTCTAAGGACACACACACACCCCTACTCCTCACCAAAAAGTATTTTCAGCTACACTGGGGAAAAGAGAGATAGCAAAGAAGAAACAGGTTTTCTAATTAGGGCAGATGGGACAATGATAACTGATGAAAATAGAGCTGTTCTTACATTCAGCTTCTGTTGTCTCTACCAAGGACAAGAAGTTATGATTCTTTGGGAAGGACAAAATATAGATAATTGGTAGCAGATAGTCAAGATCAGTAAGGAGACAATAAGAAAGCTCCAAGCACTCCTGACAAGTTCAAGTTATTAGGCCCAGATAAAGTGAAAATATAAATTATCATCAGCTACTGCCAGTCATTTCTAAAAGATTGTAGAGAACAGGAAACATACTGCAAGACTGACGGTCAAATGACCTCACTGTGGAAAGGAACAGAGCCCACAAACTTCAATTCTGGAATATATTACTAAAGAGACAGTTAGTGAACATACTAAAAAAGGAAACAGAGATCACAAAGAGACAGTAGGAATTCATAATAGTCCTGAATAAGACATGACACTGTATTACATCATACTTTTTCATAGTCTAGTAGAACTGTTTTTTCATTTCTTTTTTATCATAAGCAAGAGCTCTATAGGAGGTGAAAAGGTAACAATACATTAGGAAATGTAGGTGATGTAAAAATAAAAGATAGAAATAAAAAAATTTAATTCTCTTTTTTTGGATAGTTACTAAACTGGTAAGTTGGGGAATGCTATAGATATTGTTTACTTGGATTGTTTTATTTCCTTTAATTGAGTTTATTGATGCCTGTTTGTACATCCTGGTCATTTCTTTATATATCATATATACCGCCTTCTCCCATCCCCAATACCCACTGCATCCTTCCTTGTAATAAAGAAAAGGAAAGTACTTCCCCAATTAATAAATGGTCAAAGGATATGAACAGACAGTTCTGAGATGAAGAAATTAAAGCCATCTAGTCATATGAAAAAATGCTCTAAATCACTATTGATTAGAGAAATGCAAATCAAAACAACTCTGAGGTACCACATCACACCTATCAGAATGGCCAACATGACAAAACAGGAAAATGATAAATGTTGGAGAAGATGTGGGAAAATTGGAACACTAATGCATTGCTGGTGGAGTTGTGAAATGATCCAACCATTTTGGAGAGCAATTTGGAACCATGCCTAAAGGGCTATAAAAAGTGCATACCCTTTGACCCAGCAATAGCACTTCTAGGGCTAAATCCCAAAGAGATCACACAAACGGGAAAAGGACCTACATGTACAAAAATATTCATAGCAACTCTTTTTGTGGTGGTAAAGAATTGGAAACTGAGAGGATGCCCATCAACTGGAGAATGGCTAAGCAAGTTGTGGTATATGAATGTGATGGAATACTATTGTGCTATAAGAAATGATGAACAGGTTGACTTCGGAAAAACTTGTATGGTCTGATGCTGAGTGAAGTGAGCAGAACCAAGAGAATGTTATACACAATAACAGCCACATTGTGTGATGACTAGTATTGATAAACTTAACCCTTCTTGGCAATACAAGGATCTAAGACATCTCCAGAGGCCTTGTGATGGAAAATGCTATCAACATCCAAAGAAAGAACTATGGAAGTTGAAATGCTATTTTTTTTCTCTTCTGTTGAGTTTTGTTTCCTCTTTCTGATGGTTCCTCTTATTGGTTTTAATTTTTACTTACAATATCACTAGTGTGAAAATATGTTTAATATGAATGTAAAAAAAAAGAAAAAAGTACAAAGGAAAAACAACAGATACAGGGAAAGCAGATCTATATGCAACTTTGTAGCTTATTTAGATAAATTGTAAGGCAATTCTGAGGAAGTAATATATTATATTGTAGTATAGTTAGGATTCTGTATTTGTCAAATTATGAGACCCCCAAAGTGGTCATTGATTGTTTGATTACAGCTTAAAAAGTGGAAATAACCCCAGCACCACCCACATCATCTCTTGCATGTATCCCTTCCTTTCCACTCACAGAGCCATAATCTGATTTCATCACCTCTTCTGAGGCCTATTGAAATAGCCTCCTCTTAGCTTTCCTTGACTCAAGCATCTCCCTTCTCCAATTCACCATTTTTCATAAGTACAGGTCAATAAACCCGAGCAGCTCACTTGAGTGGCCTCTAGGACTAAATACAGACTGTTTTGCTTGGCATGTCTGTTTTTCCACACTCTTGTTCCTTCCTACCTTTCCAGTCTTCTTACATGTTATTCCTCTCCTTGAACTGCTCTACTCACTGCTCCACGCAAACAAAACTGTATCTCCCACTTACATGCCTTTGCACTGGTTATTGCTCATTCATGGAATGCATTTCCTCCTCGTCTGGGCCTCTTGTAATCCTTCATTCCCTTCAAGGTACAGCTCAAACACCACCTTCTACACAAGGCCTTTCTTGGTCGGGAGTACTGTATGCTGAGCCTGGAGTCAGAAAAACCTGAGTTCAAATCCAGCCTCAGATGCTTACTAGCTATGACCCTGGGCAAGTCACTCAATCTGTTTGCCTCAGCTCCTTCATATTTAAAATGGAATAATAATAGCACCTACCTCCCTGGATTGTTGTAAGGATCAAATTAGATATCTGTAAAGCACTTAGCACAGTACCCAGCACATAGTAAGAACTATATAAATGTTGGCTATTATTATTATTAAATACAAACTCATGTTCTCTCTAACATTAGGATTGATGCTCTTTGAGCACAGGGACTGTTTCTCTTTTTTCTTCAAAAGATATGGCAGCTTTAGGGTGTATAGAGCAGGAGAGCATCCTGGAATAAGGACTTGATAGTTCCATGGAACACTGTCTTCCTATAGTTTTACATTCAGTCTTGGGCGCCATTGATGCATCAGAGTATCCAGAGGAAAGCAACTCAAATTCTGAATGGCCTTGAGCACATTAAGACCAACTGAAGAAAATGGGAAAGTCTTAATCCAGAGAAAACTTAAGGATTATGTAATAATTGTCTTCACATACCTAAAGGAACATCATGTGGAAAAGGTCTTAAGAGTTGTTCTATTAAACCTCAGAGGGCAGAACTAGGACTAACAAGTAGAAGTTGTAAAGAGGGAAACTGAGGCTTGAGGTCAGTAAAAACTTTTTCCCATTGAAGAGATGGGCAGCTTGAAGGTAACAGGGCTTTATTGGAGGGCTTCACACAAAGATGTATCTGGCAGGTCACAGATTGGTTTCTTTTTCAGATGTGGGTTGGAGTTGATGACCACTGAGGTCCTTTCCAATTGTGAAATTCTGAGAAAGTGGGAAGTGGATGTCACCTCAATACAAGGAAGAACAACCTACTAACAAATGAAGTGATACACAATCAGAGTGACTGTTTTAGAATTCAGTGAGATTCTCATCACTGGGCATCTTCAAGATGGTCACTTGTAAGGGATATCGGACAGTAGTTATGTTTGGGAAGAGGTTAGAATAGATGACCTCTACGATACTTTGCAATTTTCCATTCCTATAACATATAAATTTGCATAATAAAACAAATACAAGTTGAAGAAAACTTGGTGTAGTTTTAGAGATTTTTTTTTAAAAAAATAGAAGTTTAAGAGAGAAGAAACAATTACAAAGGTAATTACAAAGAAAAATCAGAGAAGAAGAGGTAGCTCTAAGAGTGAAACAGAAATCAATAAGGAAAAGATGGACAGAAAGAGCTAAATAGCAACAGTGTTCATCTAACACAAAAAGCACCCTAGTGAATCAATCAAAAAATAATTATAAAGTACTGCTACTTTGGCATACCTGTGATTGCAGCCTATGTGACCTGAACCCAAAGGGACATCAACTAACAACTACTTCTGCATTCAGCAACTGCTAAAATTTGAGTTTCTCTTACTATTTCCAAATTGTGGGCCCTTTTTGTACCCTTTCCAAAAGACTTTGGAAGTTTCTGGAACCTTGGAACTTCCTAATGGCTGTCTGCTCTTCAGGAAACACTCCATGCTTTGGGTAAATTGGCTGCAGGAATAATATGAAAGAGAAACAGGGGCTGGGGATGTGTGACAACTGCTTTCAAGTCCTCAAAAGTCTGACTGAAGGATTAAATGTTTGACTCCAGAAGGCAGAACCAGGATAAAGGAGGTATAGGCTGGGACAGAGGGCAGGTGAGGAAGAATGCTACCCATCGCCTGGCAGAGAAGTGAAGAAATAAATATGCAGAATGAGACACACATTTTTGCACATAGCCAAGATGGGAATTTGTTTTGCTTGACTATTAACGTTAAGAACAGCTAAAAAACAAACAAACAAACAAACAAAAAAACAACAGCTAGCAATTGTATAGGTAAAGCATGCAAAGCGATTTACGCTTTATCTCAGTTGAGCTTCACAACCACCCTGGGAGCTAGGTGCTTTAGTAGCCCATTTTACAAATGAGGAAACTGAGGCAGACACAAGAGTCTGAGGCAGGATTTGAAATCAGATCCCCAAGGCCAGCACTATTCAATATATTCACTAATAAGTCAATTCAATAAACATGTATCAAGTGCCTACTGTTTTCTCTTGTAATAAAGTGAGATAATGCACGCAAAGGGCTTTGCAAACTTACGATAACTAGTGTGATTTTTTTTTTTTTTTGGTGGGAAGACGGGAGGGAGAAAAACTAAATGCATGTTACTAAAGTCAATTTTTAAAGTTTTTTTTTTTTTTTAAGTAAGTGGAGCTGTCCAGAAATGGAAGGGCTGTTTTCCTTTTGGGGGTCGAGAGTCTCCCCACCGCAAGCCTGGATGGGGAGGGGGCGGGCGGTGCCAGAGGGTCGTGGCCTGGATGACCTTTGAACTACTCTGGTCCAATTCCCCCCTCCCATTCCCTTCCTCCCTGACCTTGAGCCCCCAGATCCTCTCTGGGTCCCAGCCCTGACACCTCCGGCTGGTTGCTTCCTGTGGGGGAGGGAAACGCGCTCACCTGCTGGCCCCGGTGACCACCACCACCTTCTTCATGGCCGAGAACCTTTAAAGCCACTTGACAGCAGTCAGGGTAAAGAGCATTTGATAAGGTACCATAGCATGCACCTGAAGAACTTCTGATAACTCTGGCCCCGCCTACCTGCTCAGCCCACCAATCCCGTCTCGTTCAGGACTTCTTCTCCCCGCCCCACCACGCTCTCCACTTTCTAACTGTCCAATGCTGATTTACTTTGGCTTCTCCCCTCCCCGCCCTTCTTGCAGCCTCGCTGTCATTCAGACCAGTCGCAATCCAGCATTCCGGCCAGATGTAGCGCTCATTGGCTAAGCGAAGGTGGAACGAGAGGCGGGCTCAAACAGGCGCTGCCGCTCCCGCTGCCCGGATTCACCCCAATTCGATCCCGCTGGAGTCTCAGCATCCGGAACGTCATTGCGCCTGCTCCAGCGCAGGGATGCTATTTGGTTGGGCGGAATGACGTCAGAGGAGAGGTGTGGCGGGATGCTCAAAGGCGAGTTATCGTTTTTGCGGCTTTTTAGTGGTGTCTGACTCCATGTGACCGCATTTGGCCTAGATAGTGGAGTAGTGTGCCATTTTCTTCACCAGTTCATTTTACAGATGAGGAACTGCGGCAAACAGGGTTTTACATACCCAGGGTCACACAGCTAGTGTCTGAGGCCTGATTTGCCCTCATGAAGAGCCCAGTGTTCTAGCCACTGCGCCACCTAGCTGCTCCAGTCCAAAGAAGCAGCTCCGCTTCAAGGCTGGGTGGGGACTGCGCGATGGACGAAGGGTGGGGCTTAAGGGGACCTTTCGGCGGAGGGCGGGGCCTGCTCGCTCTTGGGAAGGGGCGGGGCCGAGTGACGTCCGAGGAGAGGCGGGCCCAGCTGGCCACCTATAGGATCTCAGGGCTGCTTTGCCCTAAGACTTACATCTTTTTTTGATTTTGATTTTTTAAGATTTAACACCTTTTCCCCATTAATAATCATTCATTTTCTCTCCTCATTTTAAAAAGTGAAAAACAAAACCCGTGTAATAAATAGGCAGCCAGTTGATGTGGTAGCTAGGGCCTGAAGTCAGGAAGGCCTGAGTTCAAATTCAACTTCAGACATTTACTAGCAGTGTGACCCTGGGCAAGTCACTTAACCTCTGCCTCAGTTTTCTCATCTGTAAAATGGAGGTAATAATAGCACCTACCTCCCAGGTTTGTTATGAGGATCAAATGAGATATTTGTAAAAAGCACTTAGCATAGTGCTTGGCCTATAGTTACACCCTATATAAGTGTTAGCTATTTTTTTTTCATTTGCATATGATGAGGATGAGGATGCCCAAAAGGAAAAACCCTGGACTTTCCCACATGGCCAAATCTTCTGGTGTTTACCTGAGGCCATAATCCCATCAACTGGCCTTTCACTGAGTCTACACCCAATCTTTCAATTCTCTGTTACTCTTAACCTAGCCTGGCCCTCCATTGTTTTAACTCCCTGTGCCCCGCCCCAGCCACTTCCCACCCTTAATCCCAGCTAGGCCCCTTTCTCCCTAGGCCAAGTGGTGCAGGTCCCTGGCATTCTATTACCTCACTGTAAACTACTTGACCACTCCTAGGTCCCTCCCACAGCCTTTCTGTATATGAGGTCCATCTTGTCTCCATTAAAATGTTCAGATTCTTATAATCTAGCCAATAGCTCATAGATGTTCAGACTCCTTAAGAATCTGCCCAATATGATGGATTTTCTAATAAACCTTGTCTTTGACTGAAAGAAGCCTTGGGTTGAATTCTTTTAGGCAGTATGCATGTGTTCTGATTTTGGGGTCCCAGCACCCCTAAACTCCTAAACCTCACCACACAGCCAAGCAAAACAAATTCCCACATCAGCCATGTCCAGAAATATATGAAACCTTTAGGACTTGCAATGGATGGATTGCTCAACCTGGAGTCAAGAAGATCTGAGTTCAAGTCCCGTTTTCAGACACTTTACCAGTTGCCTGACTCTTGGCAAATCACTTAAGCTATCTGCCTCAGTTTCCTCAATTGCAAAATAAGGATAACAATAGTACCTGCATCACAAGATTTTGTGAGAATCAAGAGATTTGCAAACCTTAAAAGCATTCCCCTTGAGTCCATCCTCTGACAGGAGATAGTTAACGTGCTTCAGAATGGGTCCCCTTATCATTGCATTGATCGTCATTTTTAAGTCTTTCAAAGTTAATAATCCTGATGATGTTATTGTATAAATTATTCTGCCCAGTTCAGTCTGAGTCAGCTCATCTAAGTCTTCCCAGATTTCATTGTTTCTTACAACTCAATGACATTCCATGACTTTCATGTGCTATGGTTTGCTCAGTCTTTCTCTCATCCAGATATTTGGTCCATATACTTCCACATTTTTCTTGTTGTTGTTGTTCAGTCATGTCCCCCTCATCATGACCCCATTCGGAGTTTTCTTGGCAAATATATAGGAGTGGTTTGCCATTTCCTTCTCTGGCTCATTTTACAGATGAGGAAACTGAGGCAGATAAGGTTAAGTGACTTGCCCAGGGTCACACAGCTAGTTAGTGTCTGAGGCTGGATTTGACTTCAAGTCTTCCTGACTCCAGTCCCAGTACTGAATTCACTGTGCCATCTAGCTACCTTTCTACATTCTTACACCATACTCAAATCCAGTAATACAACTTGCCAAGAAAGTAAAACGATCTTGGAAATCTAAGAAACAGTGTTCCTTTAGTGCATTGTCCTGGTCCAAACTCCCCAACCCCCAACCTGGAGTATTGTGTTTGGATCTGAATACCATTTTTTCTTTTTTTTTTTTCTTTTTTTTTCTTTTTAGGCAATTGGGGTTAATTGACTTGCCCAGGGTCACACAGCTAGTAAGTGTCAAGTGTTTGGTCTGAGGCTGGATTTGAACTCAGATCCTCCTTACTTCAGGGCTGGTACTCTATCTACTGTGCCACCTAGCTGCTCCCTGAATACCATTTTTTCATGATATTCGCCGTCATACCCAAGGAACCCCTTTTCATCCTGCAAGATCATAAGTTCAGCCACCATCAATATCTTCTGTCCCTAGGGCCCCTTCTTCCTTCTGAGGAGGGTAGATGGCATAAAGCTCCTCCCAGAACCTCCAATTAAGAAGGTCCCCTAAGCCAGTCATCTCTTTATTTCCCATCTAGCTGGACTCTTCTGGACTTCTCCATCACAAACCCATGCTAGATACCATCCTTCACCATTGTGGCATCTCCCAACACTCGCAGCTTTTCATCTCCCTTTTGTGTATTGTCTTTTTCTATTAGATTTTAGTTCCTTGAAGACAGACACTGTAAATTTGTATTTGTTTTTGTTTTGCATTTGTATTCCTAGTGCCTAGCACAGTGTCTGATATATAGTAGGTACTTAATTAATATTTATTGACTGATTAACTGGCATTTACTGAGCATTTACTTACAGGCACTATGCTAAGTGCTAGGAATGAAGGACCTGGAGATTTTTAGCCTAGAGAAGAGGAGATGGTAGGGTATAATGTAGAAGTGTGAGGGACAACAGGACATCATAGCTGTCTTCCATTATTTGAAGGGTTTATTTAGCTTAGCTCCAGAACTAGGAATGAGGAATTGGAGTTTCAAAATGTCAAATTTAGGATGGATGTCAGGTGAGTTATCCAGTAGCAGCAGTACAGGCTGGCTCAGGAGGTAACAGTTGCCGTTCTTTGGGGGTCTTCAAGCAAAGGCTGGATGACCATTTTCCAAATGCAATGCAGAAGAGATTCATTTTTCAGGCCCAAGATTATGTTTCTGCTCCCTTGCTTTCCTTCTTGATTCCCTCTGCCTCCTTGGTAGGTCATGTTACCAGGTTTGAATCTCTTGGAAGAATGTGGAAATAGGGGCCAAATGGATGAGAGAAAGCTGTAATGTAACAATACTTTGTTCAGTAGGTTCCCAGGGAATTGATTAACCCATTGCTTATGACTATTTCATTTGCTACTGGGAGTGTTTTCTCTTCTACCCCATCACCATACCTTCTACTTGGCAACTCAAAACTTCTTTATTGCTCCAGAATAGCCCAGGTGGAATCTGAGTCTCAGCTATTCCCCATTAACAGAGAAGTATCCCTATTCACTTCATACCTCTCTAGAACTAACCTGCCCCTTTTTCCAGCTGAAGCCAGCTCACTGGCTCCCTCAGCAGAATAAGAGCTTTCTATGGACCTACATATTCTCTCCCTATTGCCTTCAGGACTCTTTTCCTGAACTAGATCCTGTTTGACCAAAAGCTACTACAACCCCTAACCAAGGAAGGCACTGCCTTTAAAATTTAGGTTGCTCAAGCAGAAAAGGAAATTGACCAATTGCTTCTAAATGCAAAGTGTACCCTAAGGAAATCCCATTTTCTTCTCAGGGTCTATCATTCTGTTCCCCACATTCCTCCCTATTCTATTATGGCCATTAGATAAACATTTGAAATTACTCAGGAAAACAAAAATGAGTCTTTTAAGAGCTGGAGTTGGTGAGAGATGAATTTTGTTACCGGGTTTCATCCCAGATCAGTGCTTTAGATGTACAAAGTTGATCCTCTATTCTGCTTGTTCTGAGCAGTTATTATTTTCTGTGGGGGGTAGATATCTGGGGGCAGTCTGTGTAGGTGTGAAACTGGGCAGGAAAGATTTTGAATATCAATTCTATAACAAAAATTGCCCCTTCCCTGTCCAATCTGTGGCCCTTGTGTTATTGGGAACTGTTTGTCCTACTTTGAAGACATTAAATTCTCATCTCTATTATGGCTGAATGGTGCTGGGTTAATAAGGTTGGTCAAGACTACAGAACAGCAAAATCTCTGAGATCAAAATGTTCTTGTCCATGTGTAGAAACCACTATTTAGAGCTTCATATAAATACTCTGATGGATGATAAATGTCCCTTTATCCCCGCTCCCATATTCCAGCCTCCACTTCCCCAAAGGTGCTGCCTCCCCCCTCCGGAGGCCAAAGCCCAGAGCTAGTTTTTCTTAGACATTATTGTTTTTAAAAAGGCTCCATCAGCAACATATTTCTTTAATTATTATTATTTACATTTTATCATCTGACAGACGGACTTAACAGAGAATAAATAAGGAAGAAAAGTCAATATACAATGGGTATCACATCTCTTTTTTTCAAATACAGAGAATTTGTATATATTCTATTTTGGAATGAGTATGATAGCTATAAACGGAGATTAAATCGGTTTGCTATTCATCAGCACTCAATAGGACACAATGTCCTCTGAGCTGTTAGGAGGGACAGAACAGGGTACAGATATTCACTGTCCTCAGGAGAAATATACCATTCTGCTTTAGAGACCCAAGTTCTCCACAAAAAGATTACCCAACAAGAGAGTGAGGGTAGAAGAAAATAATCCTAAAGAGAAAATGGCACCAGGGGTAGACTAGACAAACTACAAGAGTTTGTTGTATGTGCAGATATTGTCTCAACTGTAATTATTTCAAAACCTCTATATTAAGAACAAACCTTTTCTTTGAATGTAATTATTTTAGCCCTTCCTGCTTTCCCAAACTTCTCTTAAATCTTTCTGCCTACAGGTTACTTTTATAGTGAATTCACATCAGCCTGCCTGCTCCAGGTTTTTGGACCTGATTTTATTCTCCTACTTCTTGGAAAGACCTGTAAAGTAGTTCTTCAGAATGATTGAAGGAGATGCTATTTAGATTATTATGAAAGGCCCAGGTTTGGGACTATAGAGTCAGGGTTCTGCACTTGGGGTAGCAACTGAATATATTGGTCAAATCTGTCAGCAGATGACATCGCCACACATTGGATATTATAGATCTGGAACCATTAGTGAATGCACAGAGAAAGGGAAATTGATGTCACATATTAGAAATCTGTGCTATCCTGATTTGGGCAATATTTTTACCTTTCTAACCCTTCCTTTAAAGTTTAAGAGATTATTCAAAAAAATAAAAATTCCTTCTTTCCTGATTTTGCTCCATGTATTTAGGTGAGATTTTTTTTTCCTATGAAATTTTTTCTTACTCCCTTTCAGCTCCAACAGGCCTAATCTCCTCACCTCCAACCCCCATCTAATTTGATATTTAAATCTATGACTCTATGAACTTGAAGCAGCTCTTGCAGAATTACAGTGTGATTCTAATACTTGAGGGCCAGGTTTTCTAAATAGAATCAGCTTATTCCGTAGTAGTCGTTGGGCTACTTATGAATCCAGTGCTCCTTTTCATGTTGATAACGGATAGAGAGGAAGATGAAATTTTTCTTCTATTCTGAAGACAAGCTATTGGACACATGTGTGGTGGATGGGGATAGAAGAAAGGGAGCTATGTCTAATTCTACTTCAGGATGTTTTTTTCACTCATTGTTGGTAGAAACATTGGTTTAAATCAGGGAGTCCTCTTGTTATGTCTCCACAATTACATACAGGGACTACCTAGGATACTTTTTTCAAGCTAGTTAAATAATCGGAAAGGTATCTGTCCTTCAGCCAACATATAGGAAAGAGGTCATCTCCCCGAGGTTGTTTTCATGTCTTTTAAAAAGTCAAAAACCATCCCTAACCACCTAGAACAGGAAGAACCAGAATTTTAATGGTCCTGCTTATTGATTAAGAGAAGCGATAAGACATCTCCTCTACAACTGGGTTTATGATATTCCCCCTAGCAGTCAGAAGAATTGCACCTGGACAGAATTTCTCTTACCCCATCCAATCAGGGCTAAATCACAAGGCATCAAGGGCTAAGAGTATCACAGCAAGAAGACAACCATAAGCCACCTTATCATGACCACTAGTGGTGGAGCTATTTGTAGTGATTGAGCTTGCAATGTGGGAAATCAACTTGCTATTAGCAACTTGGTCCCTTTTACCTTCCAATTCAAGATTCCAAGAATATTTACCAAGAGGAAATGACACTCATATGTTTCTACTAAAACATTTAAATTGCAATTCAGAGGCATCTTTCCATGTGGACCAGGATGCCTTTATTCCAGGAACATTCTGAGAACTATGTACATTCAAAGAAATCTGCTAAAAGGAAAGGTTTTGGATAGTCTACTGCAAAATTGGGGCCTACCAATTATATTAAGAAACAAAGACTTCTAGTGGCCCTGCTCAGCCATAATCCTGTTCTTTTTTCTGGGTAATCAGATTCTTAATTTTTTATCTTCTCATTCGTGGTTTTGTACAACACAGATGCTGTTTCTTTTCAATATGTTTCTTTCCTTGGAACATCTTCATCTCCATCCTCTCTTCTACCCAAAACATGTGGACTACCCCCATATCATTGATATCTAACACATCTCACCTCCTTGTGGGTCATGGGAAAAACTTCAGCATTTACAAGCCCTAATGGAAGAACACGTCCATACATAACATATAAACTCTGTACACACATTTCTTTCCTAAGTCAGTTGAATATTCCTCAGCCAAGTTTTCAGTCATTTCTGATGCAAGTCAATGATTTCTACAATTTGTCTATGACCATTCTGAGTGTTGGAGCCATGAGTGTTAGGGAAGTTGGTAGAATTTCTCTGACAGATGCCTCCTAATGAGAGGATTTTGTTTTCAAAAGAAAAATGAGAAAACTTCATTCATCCTGAAGCATGCAAGGAGTCACACCTTTCTAACATCCTATGCCATTGAATGTCTTTCCTTAGAAGGGGCACTATTAAGCTTCACACTGAACTTTCCTACTCCTGGCAGGAATGGAAATGATCATATCCACAATGGCTCCTTAGGATTAGTCAGTGGGGTAAGTGGAATAATGAGGGGCAAGAGAGGGGATGGAACAAAGAAAAGATGTTGTAGAGCTCCCATACCAGGCATCATTGCTTAGACCAGAGAAATCTTGCAGCTGAGGTTCCTGATACATGGCAGAGGTCAGGTATAAATGGTCTATGTCTTCTTAGTGGCCTTACTTAACTATGAGGATTATCAGTATCTACAAGAAAATTTCACTTTTCCTGTCTTGGTGGAATCCTGCCATGAAGAAAGGTGGCCAGAGACAATGACCCATAAAGAAACACCGTAGTGAACAAAAAGTATACTGTAGAGTTAGCGAACCTTAGGACTGGCAGGATATTCAGGATGTCATCCTATCTATTCTTCTTGAGATCAGATGGGCCAATCCTCAGGGTAGCTTTTTCATTGCATCTCTCTTTACCGGGTCTATGGAGCTAGAATCTAATACAACCCTCTCTTTCAGCCACAAGTAAGGCCAAATCAGTATCCCCAGACACGTATCTAGCTTCAATATACCAAGTTAATAAGCCAGAAGTCAGCAGATAGAGGATGGGGTAGTAGGAGATAGAAAAATCACTGGTTTTTGCTTAGACCTATTCTTTCTGTGTATCAGTGGGTGAATTCCAGAGCTGAGAGATTTGGCTCAAATCTGTCTGAAATCTCAGGCTTGCCCCTAATACCCATAGATACCTACAAATCCTCAGAAATAAGGGCCTCACTGTTGTGTTTCTGTTGTAGGACAATGCTACCCTCTGGTGGCACAGTATGGGTTTTTTAATCACTCAAGAATTCCCTTCATCCTACTCTGAACAGCTCCATTATCCTTTATTCCTTCATCACTTTTTTTTTTTAAATCTTCAATACATAGACTTGTATCATTCAATATTTTTTGACTCCCATAAAGGACTCACCATCACTTCTGCCCTAACTTGCTTTGTATGTTTGTATGCTGTATCATTCCATCTCTGTTCTCTGCAAACTTTCTTATTGTTCATTTTCTCTCTCTCTCTCTCTCTCTCTCTCTCTCTCTCTCACTCTCCCTCCCTTCCTCCTCTCCCTCTCCCCCCACATCATTCAAAAAACCATTCTTACTCTTTGATTCTGTCCCCTCTCTTCTTGTCAAACTCAACCCTCTGCCCCATCCTCAGCCCTCTTTAGTCTACATTACACTACAATCTTGCCTCATCACCCACAACATCTTTGGCTTTTTCCCTTTTCTTCCACCCCCATTGTGCCTATCTGACCAGGGGAATTGACTCCAAAGGGAACAAAAAAGAGTTTCATGTCCCACAAAGCATCTATTTGTCTCTTCCTCTTTCCTCAACAATCCCGTACTACCCTCTTCTAGTTAAAAAAATAAGCATCATAGCCAGGTATCTACTATTAAACTCCAAGGTCCCATGCAACATTTTGTAGGGGATTTCTCTACTTTCAATCCATTGTTCTCAGAAATGCCCTGATCATAGATTGTAAAGGTTCTTCTCCTCTCACTCTCTCAATTTTGTTTATATCCTATATTTACTTATCTATGAACTTTCTATGTCCTCCCAAAAGAATGTAAGTCCTCTGAAGGTAGGGACTGTATTTGTACCATAGGGTCAAACAAATTTAGGAGGTGCTTAAAAATGCTTAATCATTGGTTTATTGATGATTTATGGGCCTCCATACTAAAAGTGCTCCTTATTACTACAGGTCTTCAGGTGGAAGCTGGATGAACACTTTGGGGACATATGATAGAGGGGAATTTTTGCTCAGGTCATGACTGCACTCATTAGCTTCTAAATTCCCTTCCAATTCTGAGATTCTATCATTCTATGACTCTACATGCTGTTTGGATGTAATTGGGACTGTGTCTTCATTCTGAAGCCTAAATATTGGAAGGCTCTCACCCAAGAAGAAAAGGGGAAAATGTTTGGTGATACCACTTGTTGAACATTTCAATTTAACAAACATTCATTAAGCACCTATTACTACATGCAAACTACCAGTTTGAATCGATTTGACAGCCCTCTGAAGTGGTTTTTTTTTTTTTTCTTGAACAAGGGCCAGACTAGTCCAGGCTAACTAAGCTAACTTCAAATATGAATTTGTATAGAACTACTTTAGTGCACAAAAGCAACAGTCAGGTGAATTGCTGCAGAATCAAAGAGAGTAAACAGAAAGAAAGGACTCAAGAAACTCATGTCCCTGGCCACAGGAGAGCTCATAGACAGGAAACAGGTACCTCTTTTCGGGGCAGTGGATTAAAGCAGAGAATCTAAGATTTCAGTCTGTACTTTTGCCCTAGTAGTGATTCTGAAAACTGATTTGGGGTGTTTTATCAGAACCTTGAAGAGTTGTTCGAAGTGGGTAGAGAGGCCTGTGAGACAGTGGCTTGGCATCTTGGCCTGGAAAATATGTCCAGAAATCCAGAACAGTAATTAAGAATTTGGGGGGCCTAGGGCAAAAAAGGCATTCACATATAGCTGCAGGGAGTAAGAAATATACTTCCAGGAAACCTAGAAGTTTTTGTGTGACCAAAGGACTAGCTGCTAATGGAGAGTTGGGAGGAGTTGGCCTGGGAGCGAATGTATGGCCTATTGAGAGAGAAAACACAGCCTGGGATAAACCAGGTCTTTGAGCGTGCGGTGGATGGGTAGGATCTCACCTGCAATCTGACCCCTGGAAATGAAGTAGGGAGGAAATGTAATCTAGGGAAATACTGCTGGTTCCTTCCAAATTTCATTACCCTGGGGAAAGCCCCTACTGTCCCTTCCTAGTCATACCTCTGCTGAAATTCTTTATGTCTCCCCCTATATTCTGAGTTGAAAGTTAGTTTTTCTGCTGGGCTGGAGAAGTTGGGGTTTGTGAACATTCAGAGTCACCTCTGAGATCATTGTAACACAAAGTTGGGACTACTTAAGTAATACCCAAGTGTCCAAAGGAGGAGACCCAGCCTCATGCTCCACTTCATGCTAGCTATGTCAAGCCCAACAATGATTCAGAGAGATTGTATACAAGAGAGTAGTTGCAAAGGTCGTCTTCTGCCATGTTTCCCATATGCTGCTCTAGATAATTGACACTTTCTAGAAGTCTAAAGGAAGCCCTGTGCATAAGAGGGATCCACAGCAAATGAGTAAATCAATGGGTAAAGGACCACAATTGTCCCTGGAGATGGTGACTGATCCCACCTCTGATAGCTTCCTTGAGCTGGGACCAAACGATTTCTAAGGCTCCTTCCATAGGTAATATTCTACAACAGCAGCTTCAGCTATGGTGTACTAGTCCCAGATATGCCTTGAATCTGATTTAAAATCAAGTCCTTCCTTGGGGAAATCCACATCTGAATATACTTGAATAAACTGTAGAGAAAAATAATGTCCAGGCTCTCCTGTTAGAATTACAAATATTCCACACTTGTACAGATTACATTCACATACTCTCTTTACTTACAACTGCCTAATCTCCCATTTTTGCAAAGGATATTTCACCTGTAGCAAATCCTCTTACCTGCCTGATTCCCCTTGGATTCTCTCTACCATGCGGATACTCTCCAATAGCACACATGGGAACCTGGTTTTGTAATTGTTTTTGTCATCATGGTTGTGTGTGTGTATGTGTGTGTTTACAAGTATGCTATCAGAACCATTCCTACATATGAGGATATTGTGGAGAAACATTCAGTTACTGGCAAGTTAGCTTATGAGTTAATGGGACAGGCCTCATTAGAACTCAAAGGCCATGATCAGTTCATGATGTAGTACTTTGCTGAACCTTTTGACTTAAACACATCCCCATGGCATTCCCCACAATATCAGCATCCTTCAAGTCTTTTTCTGTTCTGATTTGTTAATCACTTCCTAGAAATGGGAACTCAGAAAAAAAATCACAGAATTTGCACATTTATAAACAAGCATATTTAACATTTATAAATTATTTGAATTTTCTAGCCTTTGTCATCCAACTCTGGTATATCAGGTGAGATTTCTTTCTTTTTTTTTTATTCCCTCTGATCTAGACTTTTTTTTTTCTTTTTTGGCTCTTTTAATGTAAAAAAAAAAAAAGGAGAAAAACAAAGAAGCCTCTGCCTCCCAGGGTCCATTAGAAGTCCAAGTGAAGTGGCTTAGATTTGGAGAAGTGGTGGGTTTTAAGGGGAGGACTAGGGGACCATCAGAGGTGCTCCAGAGTTGACAGCATCACTCCTCTCCATTTCCTTGTTGGAGAAGTAGGAGGTGGATTTCTTGGAATGAGGGGCGGTGTTTGGTGTCTCTTCTCCAGCAGCTAAGCATCAGCTTATAAACAGGATCAGGGCAAATTGCAGGCTGTGGGAGGTATGTCTTTGGAAACAGACAAATAAACAACCAAAATGAGGAAATTACAAAGAAAGTCAAAAAAAACAAAAACAAAAACAAAAAAAGCCCAAGGCGGGGAAGGGGTATTTGGATTTGTCTTTAAACTTTCTCCTCCCTATTCTCCCAATTTGATATCTGAATAGGTGTTGCCCCAGCATAGTCAGGGGCTGGCAAAACCACTGAGGCCATAAGAGTAATAGGCAGCCAGGTGGCTCAGTAGATAGAGCACTGAGCCTAGAGTTAGGAAGACTTGAGTTAAAATTCATTCTCAGACACTTACTAGCTGTGTGACCCTGGGCAAGTCATTTAACCTCCATTTTCCTTAAATGGCAAACCACTCTAGCATCTTTGTCAAGAAAACCTCATGGACGGTATGGTCCATGAGTTCACAAAGAGTCAGACACGACTGAACAGCCAGAGCATAGAGGTTTTTACCTGGGTTACTCAGAATTTGTCATTTCCCTATTCAGAAAATATCAATGACTTTCTATTACCTGCTGAGCAGAACTCAAACTCCCTCACACAGCTACCTTTCTAGCCTTAACTGGTCTACTCCCCTTGTTCTATACTAAGATTTGACCAAGATGCATTATTCCCTGTTCCCAAACATACCTGATATTTTCCTGCCTTCATAACCCTTCTTACACTGTTTCCTCTACCTGTAATGTCTTCCTCCTTCTCCACCAAAGTACCAGCCAGCCCTCAAGACTCAGTTTATATGCCACCTTCCCTGAAGCCTTTCTTGATCCCTCCCTCAAGCCAGAAGTAATCTTCACTTCCCTATTATAATACTTTGCCATTCTCACAGTACTTACCTCATTGAAGGAAAGGGCTTTGGAACTAGCCCTGCATTTGGAGTCAGGTGACAAGGATTCAAATTTCAGTCTATTACTTATTACCTGTGTGGCCCTAAGCAAGTTAATTAATATCTCTGGGCCTCATTTTTCTCACCTGTAAAATGTGGGAGTTGGACTAAAATGGCATCTTAGGCCCCTTTTGAGCTCTAAATCTATGATCCTCTATAATTTTATACGTATGCATATACACACATTTACGTATATATACACATATATACGTGTGTGTGTGTGTGTGTGTGTGTGTGTGTGTGTGTTTTGAGTCAGGGCTTTCTTCTAATCCCTTTTCCAGAAACTTACATGCTTAGTTTTTCCTACCTGCCGCCCTTGGTCTCGGAAGAATTCTCCAGTATTCTCAATGACTTGTTCATCTGACAGCTGGGAATATGGCTGCTCCTGGCAAAAAGTGAAGGTCTCCCAGAGCGTCACCCCAAAGGCCCACACGTCACTTGCTGTGGTGAACTTGCCCTAGTCAGTTGTGGAAAAAAGAAGGGAAAAAGAGAGAAACTCAGGATAACCCTCCAACACACACACACACACACACACACACACACACACACACACACACACA